GAGAAACCCGTCTCCCAAGCAGACAAAACGCGCCAAACCTACGTCAGAGAAACCGCCCCGGAAGCGTCAAAAGTTCTTGGGACCTAAGCATACCATCTCTGTCATGCGCATCAAGGGCTCTGCAGTTCGAGGTATCACAGTCGCAGACACCACGCGTACCATCTTAGAAGAAACCATCGACCACCGCTTGAGCCGTATGGCCGAGAAGCTGCAAGCCTCACAAGACTCCACCCGTCGCAAGGAGTATCGAAGTGAGATCAATCTCTCGCTCTCTTTCAAAGAGAGCCTCAACGAGAAGTTGCTCGACTTGCAGGACGCAAATGATCTCTTGAGCACCAACTTTAAGAAGATCAAGTTGTTCAAACGCGACAATGCTGAGCTACGTAGGGAAATCCTCAGTCTCCAGGACAGCAGACAAGAGATTGCTATCGAAACAGACGATGTCCAAGCACGATACAACGCCGAGAAGGCCGAGGTAGATGCCAGAAATACCCTCAGTGATGACATGTTCGAGATTGAGGCTGCAATAAAGAACGGTCGGAAAAAGGCACACAAAGAAGGGAGGGAGGGGGAGGGACCCAATATACCCCTTCCTATGCTGCTCCAAATGGTCGGCAATGACGTCACTTCTCGAAGTGGCGGCCTTCTGGCCAATGTAAAGGGCTTTAACGGGCTCTTGGAAAGAGCTGCAGGCTTTCTAGAGGGAAGAGCCTGATTGCACAGCGAATGGCTGGATGAAGTTTCTTGTGTGTACTTTCGGAAAGATACCCGGCATTATCGCCACCTTCGACATGATATTTACCATTCTCATATTCTGCACCCTTTCAATCTCCTAATGTCTGCGGACGCACAATAGCATCTGAAAAGCTGATCATGATGTCTCATATACGATCGGGTGTTATTTGGCAAGAACACCTGGGGTAGTCGCGTGTCGTCTAACATCGGTCAAGCGACTAGTCTGCATATGCCAAGACGCGCCCGCTTTCATGCACGGTTACGCAAAGGTGCATCACCTAAATGATATTGGCGTGCTGGAACTTGCCTGTGCGCATCACAGGGTCCATGGGCTACGGCCTTAACTCCCCAGCCTGCCGGTTTGCTCTCATCTGACAGTTCTACCAAACCTTTGTCCGAGCCATTGTTGCCAGTACCGGCGCTCTTGCCTTTCCAGAAACCAGAAGCCAGGCAACTCAACCGACGTAATCTCAATCCTGCGTCCTGTATCTATCAGGGAACTCTTTACCAGAAAAAGCAAACATTTGTAAAATTACGTGGTTGAACGTGCGCTTCGTTCTAATCAAGACCCTGTTACATTGCAAAACGGGAACCGGCGGGAATCCGTTACACGACAAACTAGCTTGAACCAAACCTGGAACTATCACCAGATATCTGACACAGTTTCTTTCACTACTCCCACAGCAGCTCACCAGATCAACACACCGCTCCATTGAGTTCTAGGTGGTTGTTCGTCACGGTTCACTTACCAAAACTATGACTCGCGGAAGCATCACCTGCGACACTAGTGTCCCAAAAACACCGACGACGGAGCCAGCACCGTCCACGCTGACGACCTCGGCCGATTTCAAGACCCCTAAACCTCCTCTTACCTCGCAGACAACTAAATCTCCACGCAGCCCATCAAGCAAATTCTCGTTTCAGGAGCAGCGGCGAAAATCGTTCTTGGAACATCTGAAACGATGGCACTTGAGCCACGAATCGAGTAATTTCTTTCAAGGAAAACTCAGCCTACTACCTTCTGAGCCCGAATACAACGAAAATCTGGAATTGGGTAGAAGTGTAACTTGTATTTTGACGGATTCGAGTTTTAGCGACTATAGGAAGACAGTTGCTATTAAGCTTTTTGGACCACAGAAGGACAGCGTAAACGGCAAGATAAGAGAATTGGGACGAGATATCAAGAGCAGGAGCATGGCTTTACTCAGCAGCGAGATGAAGCTCGCGGAGGACAAGAAAGAGGAGGCATGGCCGTCACCAGAAGCCATATCCGGCTCTTCAAACAGCTACTACAACCTCGTCATCCGCTTCGGCTCAGGATGGCTCTCAGCACGCGACTACTTCAACAGACTCTACTTCCGACACCTCGCTGCGCGCTTGCCAGGTCGGAGTAGCCACTGCGTCGCCAATACAGCAGACTACGTCTTCCGCGTCCGCTCACAAGCACTTGGCCCACCACCCTCAAAACGAGACACAGTACCCATCCAACCACTCTTCCACCAATTCCAACGCCTACCCACGGAACTCCAAGAAATGATCCTCATGACCGCCGCCGGACTTACCCGCGACTACGACCTCACCAACGACGCGCGCAGGAACTGTGCCAGAGCCTCCGAAAGAGCCATCAGTTTATCAACCCTACTACGCATCTCACGCGACATCCACGACACTATGCGCCCATACATAATGCGCAGCACGACCTTCCATTTCGGCCTCAGCGGAACGACAAACTTCCTCTGGCAATGCGGCCCGACCTATCGTCCCCACATTAAACGCTTGGCCTTCCATTTCGGGAAGAATGCTTTGCTTCATTGTGTGCGCTGGTTAGCCTCGGATGCGATTTTCGAGTTTCTAGAGCCGCCGCAGCCGAATGGCGGGACTGGGTTACCGTTGTTTTGGCGCTGTCAGTTGAGAGCTCTTGCCAAGGAATTGCATTTGCGGGAACTTGTTATTGATATTGAGGGGATTCCGAAGGCGGATGTTGCTATGGTGGTTAGGATAATGAAAGAGGCGTTTGGGGGTGTGGAGAGGGTGAAGTTTGTGGAGGGTTCGCCGCCTGGGAAGACGGAGGTTGTGGATATGAGTGATGAACGATTAGCGGATTTGGGCAAGGAGTCTTGGAGGGAGCTGGTGAAGGGGTATGTTGGGCGGTATGAACGCCAGATTGGGTGGCATAATTGGCATTTTAAGATGGATTTGGTGGGCTTGAAGGAGCATGAGCTGGATGCTTTGATGGATAAGGAGAGTGAGTTTTTCGATAGTTGATAGAGGGTGAATGCATGATGGTGTTATTTGTATATCTAGGGTTTGGAAAAATACCGAATAGACACCTGGCGAGTTCATGGTAAGCTTGACCAACGATGGAAATATGGCTTCATGGTGTGCTGATGGTACCTGGATGTACGAGAGATGTCGTCGAGCTAGTGATGAATCTTGAAGCGAAAACCGCATACCTAGATACTAAGTTTAGTTTAGTCTACGTCACTTCCACTCATACTTCCTTCTTTCAAAAAAGAAACATCACCTTGGGCATCATTTCAGAAGGATGGCGTCCAGAACAGTATTACTTTGTTTCGGCAGTTGCCAGCCAAGGTACTTGCACTTGGGTACACAAATTGTGACATTGGCGATGGAAGCTTTCAAGGTTCTTCGTGGAAACTATAGTGGGTACGGTACGCGTAACAATTTAAGGTTTCGTCGACACCCAGGCTGTGCCCAACATTGCCCGCTGCCAGCCTCACTACCGATTCTCCGAAGCTTCTCGAGTTCGTGAGGCGACCTCGGGGGGGGGGGGGGGGGGGGGGGGGC